CTCTTTGGCAGCTGTTGTCCATGTGCCTTCTTTACTGTTGGGAAAGGTGGTGACAACTGACCGTTGGGGTTGATGGACTCCAACAGGAAGCAACAGTACACAGTAAAGTCAGTGTTCCGCATTTCTAGTGAGAAGTTATATATAGGAACTGGCTTTCTCTTAGGGTATATTTTTACTTAGGGTACAGTATTATAGCCTATGGATAGTGCTTCTCAACAGGTGGAACAACAGAGGTATTCCTAAAAAAACTGGTCTTGGAACTGAACTCCAAACAAGCAACTAAACACACAGTGGAAATACAAATATCGGAACTGTTTTAGGCTACGTTTTGTCAGAGGGAAGCGGAAACATGACCACAGCGTTAGAGTCTATGAGACTTTCAATACTTACATCTAATTGGCCCAGAATTACAGGGGAGCGCTACTAATCCTGCCACGTAATGAGAGCAGGTTTGCTGGATGGAAAGGAAAGCCTGATGGACAGAGGGGTACTTATGATGCAAAGGAATGTATAACTGCTTTAAAGTGGAACTAAACCCTCCTATCCTTTACAGCCAAGAAAGCTACCATCTTAGACCCTGTTTGATCTGCAGTTGCCATGGTGCTGCACATGTGATCACCTGCATTTGAGTGAGGTCTACTGGCACAAGGAGACTGGTCCTGCAACCTCCTGGGACCTGTGATGTATCCCAGGAGGCCGTGGGTGGGGAGATGTGATGAGCAATGTCACCCTTGCAGCCCGGGGGCTGGATTTGGCCCTTTTTATCCAGCCCTTGTGGCACTATTTCTTCCACTGACACAAATGATGGGGCAGCATTTCTGATAGCAACGATGGGGCATTATTCCCCCCACTGATACAATCAATGGGGCACTATTCCTCCCACTAAAACCAATGATGGGACATTGTTTACTCTCAATGACATTGGGGCATTTTCTACTCCCACTGTCCACAGTCCGGCCCCCCCTAAAGCTTGAAGGACAGTAAACTGGCCCTTTGGAAAGTTTGGCTAACCCTGCTCTAAAGCTTCACTTTAACCCGTTGATGCTGGCCACATGAATATAGATAGCCGCTCGGCGTGTGGGCCTTAAGGACACCAACTGCATATATGCAGTCCTGTCAAAAATTCTTACCATTCTGAGAGCGCGCCCTATGCATGCTCCCAGCACGGTAGCCGGTGGTGATCGGTGAGCTCCCGATGCATAATTGCTATCAGGAGCTTCCTGATCATGTGACCGCTGTGACAGCCAAACACAGCGGTCACGTGACCCAAAGGCCTGCCTCCACCTCCCAGCTTTTAGAACCCTTAAAGGGCCAGGAAGCGGAAGGCGCCAAAGGGTTAAAGTGTATCTTTACTAACATCTTTTTCTTTTAGTTTTGGATAGGGTAGTGAAAATTTAGAAACACAGGTTTCTAATGTTGTGTGTGTCCCTGCTGGAACCCTCCCTTATCCTGCTGATGAGTGTCAGGACAGAAAATGATGGGAAATCCAAAATCCTATGGCTTTCACTGGAACAGGAGATGTGGGGGAATCTTCCTGTGAAGACACTTGTCTTTGTGACAACAGTCCACAGTTGATTTTTGCTCACAGGGTAGAGACTTCCTCTTACTTCCTGTTCTCTTGAAGTGAAGGAAAATTTGCCCAATACGACAACAACTAAAACCTATAGGGGTCTTAATCATTCCTTACTCTATCCAAAACTTCAAAATAAACTATAAGACAATGACATCTGAAATTAGAAGTCTATTTGATAAGTAATCATTACAGTAGGAATTAAATAATGTGTGTACACGTTGAATCATGCTCATCAATTGGAGAATGAGCAAATGTTGATATTCTCAATAAAACGACAGATAGACAGTAGAAAGATGTTCTGCCTTTCTATGACAAACATTAAACAATACAGTCCAACCATCTCTTTGTTACATGGTTAGTCTGGCTGAAAAAAGACAAAAGTCCATCCAGTTCAACCATAGGAAGAAAAAAAAAAAAGTTATAATCCTATACCCACAGTTGATCCACAGGAAGGCAAAAAAAACAGCAAAGCACGATCCAATTTGCTCCTGCTGGGAAAAAATTCCTTCCTGATCCCCTGAGAGGCAATCGGATATTCCCTGGATCAACTTTACCTAGAAATGTTAGTTTCCAGTTATATTCTGTGTATCTAAGAAAGAATCCAGGCCTTTTTTGAAGCAATCCACTGAGCTGGCCAGAACCAACTCTTGAGGGAGTCTATTCCACATTCTCACAGCTCTCACTGTGAAGAAACCTTTCCGTGTTTGGAGATTACATTTCTTTTCCTCCAGATGTAAAGAGTGCCCCCTTGTCCTCTGTGATGACCTCAGGGTGAGTAGCTCTACACCGAGTTCACTATATGAACCACTGATGTATTTATACATGTTGATCATATCCCCCCTTAATCTCCTCTTCTCAAGAGAGAATACAGTCAGTTCCTCTAATCTTTCCTCATAGCTGATCTCCACCTGGATGTTTTCTGGCTGGGATAATAAATATTGAGATGCGTTCGCTAATTTTTGATGAGAGAAATATAGTCACCTGGCTGTCTCTGGCTTCAACCATTTCCTATAACTAATATGCAGCAAGTGAAGTCCGAATATCTGAAATTGTCCATGGTCAGTGACTTAGAACATTTTCCTGACATTAGCCAGGCAACTAGCATTTTCTGGAGAAGAGGTCTACAATGACAGCACAATATTCTCTCAGTGTAGGTTCACTTTAGTCTTGATTCCCTTTTTTACAACTTTGGAGATGCCACCATAAGTTCTGAGTTCCTATTGCTGTCTGTGTTCCCGTTAGGGAGATCCACCCTCTCTATTTGTCCTGTTTACCATTATCATTGAAAGTGAAAGAAAATCCCACATTTTTGGTTGTCCCCAGAAAAGTAATAGAGGGGACATTAGTTCCTTATGTTCTGGGGGTCCCCAAGAAATTTCCTTAATTTGCAGTGATTTTCTCTTACTTCCTGTTTGGCTATGGGACGGGAAGTGAAAGGAAATCTCTGCAATGGGACACAGATGGCAAAAAAAACCCCTCCTTTGCTTTAACCAAAATGAAAAAAAAAATGCCTATAGTTCTTTTTTAAAGAAAATCCACCATGCACTTTGTTGTAGAAAGAACTGAAACAATGGCTTACTCTGTAGTCATGCCTGAGTATTTAGAAGTGGAAAAAAAGCACATTCCCTGTAACACTACTGCACCAAGTCTAGCTCTGTACACTGCTCTGGACCTGCAGATAATTGTTCACATTGCCAGTGCAATTAGCTAACTGCTGCATGTTCAAGCAGCCATTTCTCAGTAACAGATCACCTTAAATCACCTCTATATATGGGTTCTGTTGAGAACATAGTCCAAGTTCTCAGCAGAGCCATTGCATTGATACATGTCAGGTTTGGGGGAATTCAGAACCTCCAGTTAAAACCACTTGGCCAAACCACCGCTTTGCCCAACCTGTGAAAGCCGCTGTGTCTGAGAGCCAAAAGGCATGGCCATCAATGGTCAGGAGTTCACAAATTGTACATTCCTTACATTTTTTAGTTATAAATGCATTACAGCCTAACATTCATTGGTCAATAAAGAACACATAAAAACACTCTACCACACAATCTATATCTCCTTGTTTCTCAAATGGAAGCAATGAACAATTCTATTTCTCATGCCTAATTATATTGATTTCTGTTTCTGTTAACATAAAGCCGATTTCCTTGGACAGATAAACAAAGAAGGATTAGAGTTCTAACCTTTCCTGGAGAAATTGCTGCTCCAGGCTCCCTCCAGTGTTGGTTACACAGCCAAAAAGAAAAAAGAACGACTTATTTAGCTATGTGATCTCTTCTGAAGTGTTGGATTAGATTTTAAGATTGGTTTATCTTCGCATTCCGTCTAACATTTTGTCCTGTGGCCAGCACTGGAAGGAGTCCAAGTATTCAAAACTGTTTCTCTTACTTTATTTATACTATATTTATCTATGCCAACAAGACTGTCAATATAGCTTTAATTTAACATTTAATTATAGATCAAGTTTAAGAGGTTTTTTTTGTTTGTTTTTTTATTGAGAACTAAGAGATTTGTATCTGTTTGATCGTGTTAGATAAAGCGCCCATTGTGAACAGGTTGCATTCATTACTTCACAGTCTCAAAAATGAATCTTAATTATTAGTTAACGCTTTCATTTAAATGACCAGTGTTGGAGATGTGCTGACTTTCATTAAAATGACCCGGCCACCACAAGGTGACTTTTTAATCAATAGGCCACCCATCAATAAAAGAAGTAATATAGCTACCTTTTGGTGACCACCATGTTGAAAAACAGCTGCTTATTCGCTTCCCATGCAAGTAGTTTACTCCCACTAACTGCAGTGGTTCATCTGATTGGCTTATACGTCACTACAGGATGTATCTTATATTTCTTCTTCTTTTAAAGGAAAGGTAAGTATATTACATATCCTTGTAAACTTAAAAGGAAAGGTGGGTATAATACTCCTTCTTTCATAGGAGGCCTACTGAGAAAAGTTGACGTTTTCAGAAAACGCACCAAAACCACCCACTCTGATAGTAGTTTATAGCAAAGTACAGGTAACACGCACAAAAACAGCACCACCCAGGCTGCTGGAAAACCGCACTGCATCAGTGTGAAAGCACCCTTGAAGCTTGCCTACCCCCTCCTGTCTCCCACACTTTCCTATTGCCACTTTTCCTGTAGTAAACTTTAGGTCTCCACAGGTATAAATGGCCATTCAGTATGGAAAGACATAACCTCTTTATGTTCTTATCCAGATCATTCATACTTCCCTGTGAAGCATAGTTGATAGAGAAATATGTATTGGTAAAAAACACAAAAAGATTTTTCAACTTGTTTTAATAAATAAAATAAGTCTCAAAAAAAATTCTAAACAATGTGAAAGTCACATAATACAGGACCCTCATGCTGAGCTGTTAAGATGATACCACAAAAGTCAGCTCTTTGAGAGGTCCACAGCTTTCTTCAGGAGTTTATAAGTTTCTCTTTTTGTTGGCTCTCAGCTTCATGAATTGTTTTCTGTTCAAATTTCACCCTAGAAGGATAGCCATTTTGATGCCAAGCCCCTTTCAGGTCACAGTTACTCCCATGGTTTTCAGTGCAGCCATTATAACTAATCCTGGTGGTTCCATTCAACTCCTCATTTGTATATGTTAAAGATTTCCCGCTGGCGGTACGTGTCTGAGGAGGCTGCACCCGACCAAACAAGTGTTGTCGTAAGATCTTACGAAAAGTATGGCGGAACTCCCGTATACGATAGGCATAAATGAGTGGATTCACCACTGAATTGGCATGGGAAAATAAGATGGCAAAGTACATGAGTAAAACTGGAGGGCGTTCACAGGTCTCACAGAAGAGAGTGAAGCAGTTGATGATATGCAGGGGCAACCAGCAAATAGCAAACAAGCCCACAATGATGGCTAAAGACTTGGCAGCATGGACTTCGCGTTGCAGTGTCGATCTTGAGCGTTCCCCACAAGTTACTTTTAGCTCTATCTGTTTCAACTGCCGTCGTGCTGCCATGAAAATGTGCAAATAAATGCCAAGCATGAGCAAAAGAGGCACCAAGACACAGGCAAAGAAATTGTAGTACACCATATAATCCATAGTCACAACATTTTCGAACATGCACTCTACAAAAGGAGTACTACATGATATGTTTTGATAGATGACGTCCTTCTTATGCCAGCCCAACATGGGGGTAAGTCCGATCACAAAAGACAACAGCCAGCAGACTCCAATAGTCACATTGGCTCTTCGACTAGTCACAAGGCTGTTGTACCTGGAAAGAGAGAAAACAAAGAATGAAGGTAATGCAGAAGTCTTAATTGAAAGCCAGATTCACTGCCTGTTGGAGTGTATTCCCTGCAGTAGGTGCTGCCCTCTAATTTCAAAGACAAATGTTTTATATATTTCAGTTTACCGGTCCTTAGATGTGGCGACTGCATTTGTTTTCTTTTTTTCAGGCTTTTTCCCTTTATTTTCACCGGGTGATCCTGCCAATAATAGACATTTTGTCCCTGGGTGGCTATGCTCACTCTCTTTTCTGTATCTTTGGAAGAAGCCATGGTTTCTCTATTACATGAGGATTGATGGGATTAGTAGTTCAGTTGTTTAGTTGTTTGTGCTATCTTTTCAGCCCTCAGAAGGTGCGCAGGATCACAAGTGTTTTATGTATCCTCTGAAATATTCTTAGCCTGAAAAATTCAAACGAATGTAGACACCACATCCAAGGATTGGTAAGCTACAAGATCTTGGTAATTAATCATAGGTTTTGAAACTTGGCAATCATACTATAGGTACAGAAAATATCACAAAAGAGGTAAAATTTAATCACATGTGACTGAGGGAGCCCAAATATAAACACAGAAAAAAAAAGAGTTGTGGAAAATAGGTCAAGGGAGAGACAACCTGGGAATTTTGTCTATGTTCTGGAGAAATGGCAAGGTCTTTCTGTGCGTGGGATAACAGCTGGAAGATTTCTCTATCCAAGCAGAGGTGACGGTGACTAAGTCTGAGAGAATAGCAAGAGCACAGAGACTATAGCATCTGGCATGCAGTCACCAGGGACCAGCATAGCTCAGAGGCATAAATTACAGTGATGATTTCAGCTATGTAGTATCTGACACACAATGAGAAATTTTAAACACTAGACAGCATGCTTTCTCAATGGTTACCATAGTAGACTTGTAGAGCTGCAGTCCAGAGTTCAGTTCTCACAAGGGACACTATCTGCATGGAGTATAAGTGTGTCCTTCATGTTTGTATGACATATTTAACTCTCCTCAAACAACCCAAGAATGTGTTAGCAGATTCGGGAATGTGCATAAAAGCACACGTGGACCCGCAGCACCATGCGTTCCGGTGTAGCACTATTTTGCATAAGGGTCAGGGACTTCTTTTGTGCATTTTCCACTTGTAGGACAACCCATTGAAATCAATCGGCTGCCCTACATGCAGCAACGTGTGCACACTCCATCATAACGTCATAATTTAAATGAATCTTTATTGTCCCTATGGTGAGCCATTCTCAAACAGGGATCTTTAGAGCTCTAGGGTTTCTCCAGAGGTTGCCAGAGATTCCTTGAGTTGTGGCTAATTGACCTACCATCTGATGGTGCCTGCATGGTTCTGGGAGCAACGCCACTTGGCAGAGCAAAAACAAACAAAAATTCCAAGCTCACTTACCAGCCAGCCTGCAATAAAACCAAATCGACCCTGTCTAATAGTTCACGTTAAAAACAAGGGGTTTAGTGGCACACACTGCAAATATACAGTATGTGTAAGCTGCAGTGGTCACGTCAAGGCACCCCAGTGTACTGCAGTCCTAACTTTATAATTTTGAGAGTCTCCCATGTTGGAGCACATATAGTAATGGATAGATTAAAGTTATTCTAAAGGCTTATTTTTTTTATAGAAAAAAAATAACAAACATGTCTATACTTACCTGCTGTGTGCAGGGTTTTGCACAGAGCAGCACGGATCCTCCTCTACTCGGGTCCCCGGCCAGCATTCCTGGCCCCTCCGTCCTGTCGGGTGCCCCTACAGCAAGCAGCTTGCTATCGAGGCACCCGCTGCTCCGTGTGTCCATTCACACACGGAGCCACGGCTCGGCCCCATCGCCTCTCTCTTCTCATTGGCTCACTGGCTGTGATTGACAGCAGTGGGAGCCAATGTCTCCTGCTACTGTCTCAGCTAATAAGAAGAGGGTGTCCTGGGATAGCCAATACTACAATGCACATCGTTGGATCGAGATGGGGCTTAGGTAAGTATTAGGGGGGTGGGGGGGATACTGCACACAGAAGATTTTTTTATCTTCATGCATACATAAAAACTGGCTGTGGGTTCATGCATAAAAAAAAACCTGGCTGTGATTGACAGCAGCGGGAGCCAATGGCTACCACTTCTGTCTCAGCCAATGAAAAGAGGGAGTCCCAGGATAGCTGAGACTCCAGTGCACATTGTTGGATCGAGAGGGGGGGCTTAGGTGAGTATTAGGGGGGCTGGGGGGGAAGCTGCACACAGAAGGTTTTTTATGTTCATGCATAGAATGTATGGAGGTAAAAAACCTTGAGCCTTTAAAACCACTCTAAGGGCAGGTTTGCCTGGAGGGAGCCCCCTCTCCTTGAAGGCATAGGGATGCACGGGACACTAGCAAAGGCACAATAGCAGCTGAAGGTATCCAGTGCATCTCCACATCAATTCACCAACTATATACACAAATGGCAACCACCTCAAACTATAACTAGCCTTTGTAAATAATCTGAAGAAGCAAGCAAGCGCTTAAAACAAATTTAAGCTGCTAAACACCAAAAGGTACCATATAAAACCTCCAAATAGATAGTAAAAGCAGGGTGTAGCACTTAAATCTGTACTTATATCGAATAATATAGATGCATAAAATAAAGTGACTTAGTGATGTAAAACGTGTCAATAATAAATGCATGCATACATCATAAAAAAACGCATAAAAACTCATAATAAATACATTAGCATAAAGTGCGACATGAAGTGATGGCTGTGTCACTAAATGGTGACAAATCAGGTGCAAGGTGCCGGACTGGTAAATCAAACAATAGTCCACAATTAAGGTGCGCAGGACATCCTGATAATCTTCAAAAATCCAGTGGTCTGATCTGGTATTGTGGTGATATAAATAAGATTGCGCACTCACCAAATCAAACTGCGCATTTAGAAATACCAATTCCAGAGGACTGGAGATCCCTCTATGGTCTGGTCTGGTCAGGTGCCCCTCACTGCCTGGTAACCACTGCCACACATGATAGGGCCGCTCTGTGGGTATTAGTAGCTTGCAAGAAGCTTCAAAAAAGGAGGCCAGATAGTGTAATACCTTCTAAACAGGTGATGTTTATTCAAGTGCAGCACAAACAATGGGTGTGAGGAAAACAAAAACACTGACCATCTGATGATATTCAAGATGGCCGCCGGGCCTTCTTGGCGCCGGTGGTGTGACATCACAATTCTGTAGCTCCTCCCTGACGAGTTTCGTGCAACCGCACGTAATCATAGGGGGTATGCTTACCAAAGCCAAGAGGGCCCCGTGTCCATCTTGAATATCATCAGATGGTTTTTTTATAATTTATTTATTATGAGTTGTTTTAATGAGTTTTTTATGATGTATACATGCATTTATTATTGACACGTTTTACATCACTAAGTCACTTTATTTTATGCATCTATATTATTCGAATATAAGTATAGATTTTAGCGCTACACCCTGCTTTTACTATAACTAGCCTTTGCAGCAAGGAGCACATGGAAGGGCAACGCACTGGATACTTTCAGCTGCAGCTTTAAGGAGGGGTGGGCTCCCTGCAGGCAAACCTGTCCTTACCCTAGGTTCACATCTAAACATTTTCTGCAGCATTTTGCAGAAACGCAGTACAGTCCATTTAACATGATTTCCTATGGGACATGTTCATATCTATTATTTATTTATTTATTACAGGTACTTATATAGCGCCGTCAATTCATGCAGTGCTTTACATATATATTGTACATTCACATCAGTCCCTAACCCTCAAGGGGTGTACAATCTAAGGTCCCTAACTCACATTCATACATACACATACTAGAGCCAATTTAGACAGGATCCAATTAACCTACCAGCATGTCTTTGGAGCATATTTCAGCATTTTCACCTAGTGCATTTTTTGGAAAGGGTCAGGGACTTTTTTGAATGCAAAAAGTAGCATTTTTGGTTCTATAGACTTCAATCTAAATGCTGCAGAAAAGCATGTACTGCATTTTTGCTGCATTTTGCACTTTAAATCCGCCTAGCAACAAGAAAAATTAAAAAAAAAAAAAAAAAAAAAAAAAAATGCATCAAAAACGTGGCAAAAACGTGTAAAAAAAATGCAGGTGCAAAAACGCAATGCAGAAATGGCTCAGATGCAAGCTGCATAGGTGTGAACCTAGCCTTAATCTATCCACAGCTATATGCACTGCTTATCTATACTCTATATAAAATTACTGAGCCGTATGTTTTCTAAAACTGCACACAAATGGTCTACAGCAGTCATAAATATTGCTGCTTGTTTTATATAATAGAGGAATATTAGCTAGAATCTCATTCATTACTGTTGCCAATGTTTTTTTTTTTACACAAACCAATCACTGCGAATAGCAGCCATGTCCAAAAAGCGACAAACTGGCTTCTAAAACATATTCATATCTACCATTAGATATGTGTGTTACAGCTTCAATAATTGTAATAGTTTATAATTCTACTTTAAATGGCATCTTCCATTTAAATCTAAATTCTGGAGGGAATGGGTGCATGTAAAGTGTATACCATTTCTTGTATAGTAAGAGCCATTACAGGGTTGGTTACATAAAAAAAAAATTGTAAAGCTATAAACCTGTAGAATGTGAACATTCAGTAGAGGGAGTGGCCATAAAAAATTCAGGTAGTTAAAAAAAAGGACAGTCATATGACCAGCTGCAGCAGCTATAAAGGCAAATGATGTGGATCATTGGTATACATGGCTGTAAAGGGCAATAGAGGGCTGTCTGCTTTATTAAACATTTGTACTAGTTGTAGGTGTGTGTCATAAACAGTAGAAGGCGGCTTGTACTTCAGAGGTATAAACCACTATCAATTTTACGCTAGAATATACACATGTAAACAGCTCTATATGTGAGCAGTAGCCAAACATCTATAAATGATGCTTTCCCCAAAGGCACTAGAACTTATTTTCTGCTCGATTCTTCATTTCTGGAAGGGTAATATTGTGCTCTTCTGTAAATGGCAGTCAGGAA